CACAGATAATGGATACATAGCCTAAACTCGTCAACCTACCTGAGGCGTCATGGCCCTCAAGCTAGTTGAAAGACCAACCCGCTCGGACAACGAAAAGTAACGGAGGAACGGAGGAACGAAGGAACCGGCTTAACTGTAACGGAGGAACGAGCAACCAATGTAACGAAGTTACTTGGTCCGTTACCCTTTTTAAAATGCAAAGAGTCCGTTCTTCCGTTCCTAAAAATTGTAACGGCGTTCCGGAACGGAGGAATGGATCGTGCCCACCTATGTTCTTAAGGCTACCAAAAATATAACCTCTTTAAGAAGTTACCACCATCAACAATAAGGCACCTACCAAAACCACTGATGAAATCTTCATTTACGCTAGCAGAGACCACGGACTCTTCTCGTTCGATACTTCTTCCGATTTCTGGCGACGCTTGTTTACATAGATCTTGATGGTCGGGAACACAGAGATTTGCTCAGAATCGCGCTATATTTGACGGAGCTTCAGGCGATACCGACACGCACACGATAACAATTGAACGGAACGGTCTCACAGTCAGCTGACTAAACATTCATCTGACGAAGCCGGGATCGTGGCTACTAAATAATAAAGGGCACTTCTGCGCATGAAATTATATACGATATAGCAGTGCTGCACCATACACCTCCCCCCGAGTCGATATCACCGGTACACCTCCCCCCAGTCGATCACACATACTGGTAGGAGCGCCGAGTGGGGTCGACGACTAGCTTCTTCGGAGGCCGTGTCTGACGGGTGCTGCGGCGGGGGACATCAGGCGGGGTGTCTGCGAAGCGGACTTGCTTCTTCGGTGGAGCTGCTACTGCTGAGGACGCTGCTCTCGTAGTAGTGAGATGTCTCGGCCGCGGCTGTAACTGCGTTGACCACGCCGGTAGGCTGACACCGCTTGGAGGCGATCGCCGGTGAGTGCTGAGGCGTTGGCGTATGCGTTTTCACGCGCACGGCAGATGTCTACCGTCTTCTGCAGCGTGAGGTTTGTTTCCGACAGCAGGGTTTGGACGGCAGCTTCGTCACACAGCCCAGTGATGAGGCGATCACGGAGTCGGTCTTCGGTGCAGTGTTTGCAAAAGTCGCAGAACTCCGATATCTCCTTCGACGCGATGAGGTAGTCGTCAAACGGTTCGTCGGTTGCTTGGTTGCGACGGTAGAAGTCGCGCCTGTCCAGGATGACGTTGCGTTGACTCCGCAGGTGTTTTTCCATGGCTGAGATGGTTTCATCCAGGTCGGAAGTATCCGTGACGTCGCTGAGGCCGAACTTGATGATTCGGTACCATTCGTCGTCGACGATGGTGTACAGAGACGCGCGCTGTTCCTTTTGTGACAGCTTGTCTACTCCGGTCAGCATGTTGTAGCCGTTGAGTCGTTCCTTCCAGGTCGAAAACTCCCTGAGGCTGGCGCCGCCAGATAGACGCGGCGCTGGCGTAGCTGAGGCCGGAAGTTTCGGGCGATTTGCTGAGGTTTCATCACGGCGATTGTTCGTAGAAACTGCAGTAGAGGTAGCTGCAGCCTGTGTTTCAACGATTGCCGCTAGACGTTCTTCTCGCTGGTTAGCAGTCTCCGCTTGTTGGCGAATCAGCTCCGTCAGACTGACAAGTGCAGCTGTGAAGTCTTCCATAGTCGTGGCGATCAAAACGTTCAGCGGCCGGCGGGGCTCTAACCCGCGTCACTCCTCGCGGCCGGCGCACAGGCCGGGCGCCTTTGACCGCTGGGCCACGGACACCTGAGTGCAGGCCGGCACCAGGTGCGAGTGATTCCGCGCCCAGTAGTGTCACTGGCCGCCGCTAGGTGGCTAGGTCGACTGTCATCTACCGCCGAGCCGCGTGGCCGCGCTGGGGCAAGGACAGATCATCCACGTTAATCACACAATTATGAACCAATGTCAGCGAAATTCAGCACGAGTAATGAACACCGACCGACCGCGCCATGTTTAGATCTTGATGGTCGGGAACACAGAGATTTGCTCAGAATCGCGCTATATTTGACGGAGCTTCAGGCGATACCGACACGCACACGATAACAACCAGGCCCATGTCGTCCCCTATCTCCGCGTGTGTCCACTAACACGAATGACGTCACGCATGTGGGCGGAGCTATGGGCGGAGCCTAACGCACGCGGCAGTCCAAGCCGCCATATTTGAATTTATATTTTAATAGAATCTTGCCGATATTTTGGGTAAAGTCAATTTATATGGATAGCTTGGTGACAGTTTAGCTATACGAATAATAATTTATTATGGATGTGCGTATATTCAGCTTGGAATTGCAATTAAAGTTCCGCACCGCATAGATTCCAACTCGGGACCTTTGGAATACTGCGCGGGCACGCTAACCACTACACTACCGCGACCGCGCGGCGGCCGGCGGCAGGGAGGCTGCGGAGACATGGGGGACATTTTACGCTTTTGTGAAAAAAAGCAAAAGATTTAGCGAAAAACACGTAATAGATAACTTGCAGAAAATTGTCTGCCTCTTTTCAGATAAGATACTTAGGTTTTGATATATCTTGTGCAGACTTCATTCTACAGTGCTTCGAAAATCGCTCATTTACATGGGGATTGAACGGGGCTTCGAGACTTGACTCCAAATGACGTCACCAGCTGACGTCACGAAAAGGTAGAATCGCCGGACGACCCTACCTGGTATATAGGGCCTTGATAACAACTGAACGGAGCATATTTACGTCTGGACAACGAGTTGCGGGGAAAAGTGCTGATTTTGTTGCAGTTTTAGGAGCCGGTGATTAGGCTGGATTTTTGGGTTACTTTTTTGTTCCGATTCATGTATTTCATAGTCTTTGGCTTTTGAATATTTTAGTTCTTTTAGATAAATTTTACTCGCCTTACAACTTTTGTAAAAACGTTTCATTTTTTATAAGCCGACGTTCAGAGTCCTAAAAATACATCAGCACTACAATCATTGTAAACAAACAAATGGAGAGCACCACTTGGCTCCGTTCCAAGGCCATTTTTTTAGTTTATCTGGTGGTTTTCTTACTCTTGTACGTCGTTTTGTTGGATGTTTTGAATCCCTTAAGATTGACTTATATCATATTTAAGAAGCATGTTGACTGAAAACAATCTGAAGTATCCAGGAGGCTGACAGAGGTCCTGACTCCTGAGCAATATCAATATCAAGTCACAGATTAACATGTTAATCTGTGATCAAGTTGAACAAGTTATGAAATTTTGGTTGATAAACGCAAGTTGATCGGGCTTATATATCAGCAAGAAAAAATAAAATTAAAAGAGCTTATTGGCCAAAAACAAGCTATAATATTGCAGACCTTGGGGCAATTACTGATGAGCACGCTGAGCAGGATCATGCCAGAAAATGTTGACTGATGAGCGCATATTGATGTATTGGTATGAATATTGAATAATAACTTACAACAGCAAGATAAATTAGTGCCAACTATCAAGTTAAAAATCTAGAATGAATTGACTTGGGCAGTTTTACTACGCTTAGATGCTATGCAGATTGTAATGTGCATCAGGTAGTCAATGTCTGGCAAATGAAACATGCGATCATTCCATTGCTACTGGAGGAGAAAGCTTTGATCACTAAATCCACTTTATGTTGATTTTGATGTTAAAGGTAGTGTGCCAGCTTTCCTGGACCGTATGGAGTTAATGGCCCAGATAAGGAGAACCGGATTTTTAGAACTTATCCATACCTTCAAAACTCATGGAAACGTCTTAAATTCTTCAAATTTTAAGTACCCCAGTGCGAAATTCGCCCCGACGGGTTGTCGGTCGTACCCCAACCACATTTCACACCACTATGAACAATAAATGCACACACTGAAATCGCTATTACCGATATGCTCATCCAATCAAGTTTCGATAAACCCGTTCATCATCATCTCCTGCGGTTTCGAACACGCCTGTTAGGTGGTGCGGTAGACCGCGCCCAAAGCCAGGGCCCCGGTAACGTGAGGTAGCCGAGTCGGGGCAGCGTGCGCTGACCCAAGCCGGGGCCGCGCGTCCTCCCGGTGTCATGTGATAGCCCGGGGCTACCCGCGGGAATGCGGTAGACCGCGCCCAAAGCTGCGGCCCCGGCTTGGGTCAGCGCACGCTGCCCCGACTCGGCTACCTCACGTTACCGGGGCCCTGGCTTTGGGCGCGGCTTCTGCTCATACTTTGTGGTGCGGTGGTGGTGCGTCGGGCCGCGCGCTCTGACTTCGGCCAAGAAAAATGCGTCAGCTGATCATTGTCATTTCTGCCACTTGCATGTGGTGAAATGGGGTCATAACTTAAGAGACGGCTTTTTCATATCAATTATTTTACATAAAATCATATTTCAAACCATAAATAATGTTCGACAGCCAAATAAAAGAAACAATACCAATACAGGCTTACCGTTTAAGGCTCGACATTGTGTTGTCTACGATTAGACAGCTGATAACTCATTCCCGTACGTCGTAACTCTATAATGACCTTTGCTTATTGTCACATGTGCGCCGCATTCGCGATTGTTGCCGACGCCTGTTTGCAGGTGAGCCCACTACAGTTGTTATACATATCGAAAAACCGATAAACTTTTAGGCGAAAAGGCACTATTCCAGGCCCATTTTTGATTTTTTTTTGCGATATTAGGTAAAAACAGAAGCTTCTTATCCTAGGAAAATAAAATGGGAAATCTTTCAAAGGTGGCACACTACCTTTAATCATCACTGTATTTCTTGAAAAAAGGATTGTAGTAAAATTGTCAGTGTGACAATCCATGCAACAATGTGATCATATAATGTGTTCATAGTCATTCGTGATAGTGATTATTGGTCCAATATACAATGGCAAAGCTCTCAGTCTCAGTGTTTCTTCCTGTAGATGGGCAGCAGTGACTCAGAGCTTAGAAGTATTAGTTTTCTTCACAGGGCTGGGATATAAAAAGTACTTAGGGTAATATTCCACGGTCCACCAAGGAACTCTACTTTGACATGGTATGAGATGTAGGCACAAGTAGGTAGGTGCTTAGTAGGGTGTGTCGTCAATCCAAAAATGATCTGCCGTTAGAATTATTTGGTGCCCTGATATGTTGCTAAATCATCTAGGACGATAATTCCCCTCAAAACTCCGTACTTGATGGCCTCTTCTGAAAAGTTTGTGTCTCCGTTCAGTCTCATTTGTATTAGTGGCGCCATCTGCAGAACAACATACGGCATATTGCGGAACTACTCCTTCTCATAAGTGGCGCTAGGTGGCGCTGAGTGCAAAACCTGTCCGACCGCTCCACGAACGCCGTTTTATGTCGTTTACTTGCCATTTCCGTGCTTATCAATATAATACTAATTAAATAGAACGATAGCAAACATCATGAGAGCCTGGCTCATCTGAATGCAGTACATGGTATCTCACAATGCCACGTATATCGATAGCTAACAAATGAAGCAACATTCACTACACTTCGAATCATCAATGCGAGATACGAGACAGGACCGAACTTTTTTTTCGTGAAAATCCTCGTATTAATCAACCACATGTAACATAAAATACATCAATCACTGCACCCGACGCAAACCGAAAGCCGAAACCATACACCAGACACCCACGTATGGGGTCTCATTCACGACATAATTCACGTATGAAGAAAACATCCTTTTACAGAATCGCAAAAACACGAAAATCTTCCGAGCATTCACGTAACGGTATGGCACTGCACTCTTAAAACCGGCCGAGCGGGGCGGGCGGGGGGGGGGGGGGTGGGGCGGCGGCAGCAGCGACAACCACATCACAGCGAGCGGCAGGGGCAGGCCCCGGCGGGTCGCAGCGGGCCAAGGCAGCGGCGACGGCAACTTCGAAGACACGGCGACAGGACCGAACTGGCAGTCACACGAACGGGTGACAGTGATCACTGAGCAGTTCAGCATATCTGGAAGTCTTTCTTCGAAGCGAAGACCGGATGGCAGCGGCGGTGCTTCAGGCGTGCAGTGATGTAGCCGTGACGCGCCTCTTCCCCACGCACCGCCAGGCACGCTTCGGTTACGGTCCGAACTGCCCGCTCCACCGCCTGCGTGTGGACCGGGTAGTTCGGCAGCTGCAGCGGAGAGTGCTCGATGGCTTGCAGCTGCTCGTCTGTGAGGTGGCGCAGCAGCGGCGGCTGCGTCACACTCTCCGGCGGGCTCCAGCTGATCACCTCTGTGTAAGCGGAGGCGCTGAAGTTCAGCTCCGGCAGCCGGAATGGCCGAACGTCCTCCGTCTCGCGCTGTCTGGCTGCCTGTATGTGGCGCACGGCCTCCTGTCGGACGCCAGCGTCACCGTCAGCCACCATCGCGAGCAGCACCTGCTCAGGATGCGCCCAGTACCCGTTGCGCTGCAGGACGGGTCGCACCACCTCCTGGATCATCTCCGGCAGCTCTCGGAGAAGCTCCACAGAACGGTGGAAGTTCTTTGCACCGTCTGTGCAGTCGGGGTGTCGCCTGATGCAGAACCACACCGGCACGTAGTGAGTCACCAGAAACTGCACGAGGAGCCGCAGGCTGTCAGACGGTGACTCTGTGCTCACGTACAGGCGCAGCACCCGCGCGCCGAGTGTCAGCCATCTGAAACGGACGCCACAATTTTGATCAGAAGAAAATTCAAGCACGCACACAAATCACAAACCAACGATAAAGTGCCGTACAAACACGGCTAAAATAAACCGTTTTCTGCACTGAACAGCGAACATTCGTTAGCTATAGGTAGAGGCGCTACTCCACTCGTATCACATGTGTTCTGTTGCAGTAACACAGTTTTATCAAAACTTAGGTAATTAATTTGATAATGGTATAGTCATTACTTATGTCTGTAAGACAAGTGAATGAAAGTTGACAACTTTCATGTTTCCAATGGTAACATAAACATGTATTTTGAAACCTGTATTGTTTTAGAGTAACAAAGAACACAAGCGAGGTTTCGATCTAAGTTATTAGGTAATAGGTATCTACTTTGAATGAAACGAACTAATAACTGATTATTATAATATTTGCATGCATAACTTATTCATTAAACAATATTCAAACTTGATAATGACGTAAGTTAAATGCTCGTTTGTCATTCTTTGCATGCTTCTGAAATAAACAATACCTGCATATGATTGTACGTGCGATCAATTGTTAATCTATTTTACTTGCGTAACTATGCATGTGTCACGAAATAACGGACATGCCTCATATTGCGCCCCGAGTACTGACCTGGCGTGGTTGAGTGGCCCGATCCTCTGTCGCGCCACGGAGTCCGACATGTCGCCAGTCTGCACCGCCAGAGCCAGTCGGTACAGCAGCTGCTGGTCGTGACTGAGGGTGGCGACCAGCTCGGCTGTCATCTCCGGCACGTGTCCGGGCACGGGCTGGAACGGCGCCACCTCCCTCCTCCACACGTCCTCGGCGCAGCTGGTGCCGATGGCGCCGTTGAAGGTTCGAGGTCCGCTGGTAGTGCCGTCCAGCGTCTTGAATACGTGCCGCAGGTTCAATTCATTGCCGTGCAGCATGCACACAAACCAGTGCACGGGCTTATTTGTCGCCAGCTCGAAAAGTCGGCACACACCACCGCTGGTCCCGATATTCACCGCCGTACCATCGCATCCCAGTGCTTTCACATGTTCACCGAACGCCACAGCGATGGTGTAGAGCTCGTTCACCATGTGAATGGCGCTCCCAGACTGAGGGGTGAAGTGTGTCAGGTACAGATTCCCCGGCTCAGACAGGACGACGACATGTTCTTGTATGTCTGTCGCCGCCGAACAGTCGGTACATGTTTTGTCCTTGCGCCCGTCAAAGTACAAGCTCTCTACTCCTCCGGACACAGCTGCGTCGATGTTTTGTCGGGCCGATTCATTCCTCATCATGTTTCTCGCGCGCCATATTTTCTTGGCGTCGACGACGTTCGACATGTCGTTTTCATTGATGCGCCCGATATCGACTTGAAACGCGTTTATGATAGCAGCAGCGGCCCGGTTAGAAACGCCGTACCGGTCCGCTGCGAGCGCCGTCTCCCTCAGATCATCTGCGTTCTTGGCACTCGGAAGTGCAGTCGGAGCTGTAAACTCTTCGTCATCCGCAGACGAGTCGCTGCCGGCGTCGCCGCCGCCGCTGTCACTGCTGTCAGTGTCGCCGAGGCGGAGCTGCTCGGCGGGCACAGCGCCGACGGTGCTGCCACTGCCAACGCCGCTCGGCCCAGGAGAAGGCTCCGTAGCGCCACCATGCTGCTGGTTGCGGTGTCGCGATAACTGACGCTGCAGACGCGCCTGCCTCGCCTCACTCGTGGCCCGATCGTATGATCCCAGCGTCAGTCGGCGCTTGTGTCGCTGGTCCTTGAGGAATGGCCACTCCTCACTTGGAACTTTTGCATCTCGCGGACAGCAGCACGCCGCACGGGAGGCACATTTGCACATGGCGATGTCGAATAGCTTCAAGAAGTGGCTATTGTCAGCGTCCGCCCTTTGAGATTTTTTCGTCCTGTTCGCGTTTTTATATGCAGCATACTCCTTTCGCACGAGCTCTTTGACATATTTAATTCCATGGACAGGGATGCCCTCTTGCGACCACATTTCACTGACACTAACAGCGACATGATTGAAAACTGAAGGAGCTGGCGTTTTCCGGGTGGTCGAGAACCCGTTGCTGTCTTGATCGAGAAATTTTACATAGTTAATCACATCACCCTTTGTCGGCAGCACGGTTGTAGGCAATGGACCTGCCTTACCCAGGATGAAATGATGCGTAGTAGCACGTGTTTTAGGCATCAGTTCAATCGACTTTGCTATCATTAGATACCCACCCCAGTAAGCCCTATCTCCCCACCACCGTCCGTCTCGGTATGAATTTGACCCGATGCAGAATTGTTTTGATTCAAAGCAGAATAGCATAAATCAATAACAAAAAAAAATATATATATCAGCCGGTATCCTCGGGTTCCAAAACGTAATAAATCGTACATGTATATGACAACACATTCAGCATATTTCCATAGTTAGTTAATTTTGCAGATTTGAATATTACAGAATGAAAATAACATTGCTTGCAATAAAAAAACTGATCATAACAAAAACGACGCTCAAATGCCCTTGATATTGCATGCCGACAATCGAAGACTTCGAAACGATCAGTGGCGCCACCTTTAGTTTCGTAGCCATATCTTTAGTTCTTAAGTCGTCCGTGTGTTGTATCACAGATGGCGCTGGGGCATCTGACATCGGTGCAAACTTTCCTCCAGAGGCCAACATCTGCGCAGTTTTGAAACAAATGTTAGTGAAAAATTGTTTTGTGATGAATCAGCGCAACAAATTCCGGACACGGCATTAAGATCAGCGAAAATCACCCCCTCCACGACACACCCTAGTGCTTAGTTCCTATAGTCAGTAGTTGTGTATGTTTAGTCAGGTTAGCTTAGATTAGATTGTTAGTTTTTTAATTTGCCAAGTGTCCATAAAAATTGGACCTGAGCAATGAGCATACCTGACTAACCTGACAGCTGACCTAACCTCAATCATCACACACATTTGCAGCCTTCCCAAGACCTGCATAGCAGTAGCACCCAGTTATAGGTAGGTACTCACCCTAACTCAATCTTACCTGCTAACCTTCAACTTGCCCAAAGTTAGCTCACATTGCCAAGCTGCATCCAGGGAAACAGTCAACTGAGGAACTGGCTCATTGGGTGGCTGGTGTGAGTCTGTGCATTTAAAGTGTTTCTTCTCTGAAGCTGCTCTGCACTGCTGTAGGTATGTCATGTTAGATGCTCAGAAAATGTGGGAAATGATTACTAAGCTACTTTAGTGCTTTGTTAATGCTCGAGACATGAACAAGTACAGATCCTGCAGGGTACAGCTATGAGTTAAGTGCTAGGTGAGTATTTTATGTGAATGTGCTGTTCCCTGTTTGACCATAGTAAGTATACAAACAAGCACAGGGTCACAGTTATATTCAATCTCCACATATACATACAACAAAAACGGCCATATAGCCTAACTCGGAACACACCACAGATAACTTAAGCCTTTGCACTTTTGCAGGCACAAAAATGTTTGATTAACAGGAAAGGTATACAATATATCCTCTGTCCTTGGGGGATCTTGCTGCCAAGTTGAGGTACGATGACTGAACTTCAGAATTGATCAACCTTTTCTTAGCCACTACTTATATACGAGAAAGACCAAATGCTTGTTTGTTTTGATTTACAGGACATGTATACAATATATCCTCTGTCCTTGGGGGATCCGATGATTGAACTTCAGGATTGATCAACCTTTCTTGGCCACTGCTTATATCACCAAATCAAAATGCTTGTTAGTAAACTGCGTTGAAAATTTAATGATCCACCTTCAATTCTGACATGAAGGAACAAATGAAATAGTTCCTTTTGGAATACACGAAGCAAAATATTTCATAAATTTTAGTGGATGGACAAGAGCAATTAGCATGGCTTCCCCTCAAGTTAACTTCTAGCACTGATGAATTACACTGACGCTTATTCGCTTCATATTTTGTAACAAACGCGCTAAAACTGCAATATAACAGCACTATATGCTTCTTGACAAAATGCAATAGTAGTAAAAATTTAGCCCTGATGGCATTCATTCTTAGTGAAAACGTAATTACAAAATATTTTGTAGTAACAATTAAATTCCGGCCGAAAACAGTGCACGGTTAAAAAAGAATCATTTGTATGACGGTCCATTCTTGCGGTCCTGAAATCGCCACTATTTCCGGCCTCTCCAACGCAACTCGTTGTCCAGACGTAAATATGCCTGAACGGAACGGTCTCACAGTCAGCTGACTAAACATTCATCTGACGAAGCCGGGATCGTGGCTACTAAATAATAAAGGGCACTTCTGCGCATGAAATTATATACGATATAGCAGTGCTGCACCATACAGCGAAAGTGGTCAGGAAAATGTTGGTTTTCATCTGGTAGATGCACACTGGAACACAAAGGATGACCACTAAGTACACCACTCAAGCTGCAACAACTCAAGCTCACAGATGATTTAATCACATGCAGTAACAAGTACCACACAATCACCTTGGTCTATGTACAGGGTGGCGCACGTTAAACCCCCGATTTGAAACTTTATTAACTTACATCATAGTTAGCTAAATTGAATATTTTCACACAATGTAGATATACGTTTGAGATTATATTCTTCAAACTTTTAGACAAATCCATTCACGTTCAGCTCAGCTGTATGTACACTTCGACGTGACCCCTATCGTTTTTCATCACTTTCTCGAGGCGCTCGCGGTACGCCAGCGCTGCTTTCTAGCGCATCTCGACGGTGATCTCTGCGAAGGTGGCTCTGAGCCGACTGTGTAACTCCGGAATGTTCGCCGACCGCGTTACGTATACCTACGACTTTACAAACCCCAACTTGAAAAATTCACACGGGGTGAGGCTGGGCTTCGCCCAAACTGCCCTGGCCACCGCGCTAGGCCGATCTCACCCCGCGTGTGAATTTTTGTGGCAACCTGTAACCTGTATTGTGGCAACCTGTACTTCGTACTCTGTGTGCTTGAACATGAAACACTTTGAAACATGTAACGCACGCGCCACGCAGGCCACGCAGTATACACTCTTCGTGTGTGGGTCTGTGCTGGATCTGAGCTGCCGACATGACAAGGGTGGCGTACCGCGACTGCCAGTACTCTCGCACGCGCATCTTGCACTCTACTCAGCCAGGGAGCACACTATCTTCTGCGATGCTTAATTAGTGAAATGTTTATGTTTAGGGCCTCCATGTAGAGCACCTCGAAGAGGTACTTGCATGACCCACGGAACGGAAAATAAAACACGGCATGAGCTGCAAGGATTGTGGCAACTTCACCGACATTCGACTTTGGCAGCTCGAAGTTGCCCAGTGCTCCCTGAACGTTAAGGCTGGACGACTGGACACTCACGGAGCTCTGCTCGTTCTTCAGATCTCCCAGCGTCGGCCCGCGCCCGTAGGCGAGTAGCGCCACCAGTTCGTCACCTGTGAGGAGGGAAATAAAGTAACTAGCAGTGATACTAGCAGTGACACTTAAATAAGACTTATTTCTTAACAGTCACGGGGAGGCGCCCCCATGCCCTTAAGGCGCCCCTGACAGCGTTGCCCCCCCCCCCAACGAAAACCAAAAAGCTACGCCCCTGGCTGCCAAACGTTCTAGTAAAAGATTTAAAAATCGTTGGATCTCCGCTGACGTCACAAATTCTAAGGGGGCATTCCAGTGCATTAGCCCCTTAGAATCCGAAAACTGCAAGTTTGAAATTCCATATCTCCGAATTAAAGCATTTTTCGATGTTGTGAGTGCCCAAACCGGTATTTGCAGGCCATGGCCACCAATTTGGCTATCTCAACTCAAAACTAATGTCAAGGTGGGATGGCCACTTTAAAGTGACCATCCCACCTTAACATTAGTTCACTTTAGATATTCGTTTTCGAATATCTAGAATATTTAGATGTTCGTTTTTGAAATTTGGTAGATATTCGTTTTCGCTGTTTCTGAACCGAGCGACATCACTCTCATGCCCATTCATTAACTTTTTGAAGGTGGGAGGGTCCCTTTAACGTGCATATCACGGCCAGGCTAGGCTCGTCCGCCATCACTCTGGTGAGCTACCTGCTAGTGCTCATGGGATAGGCGGCCGTGTCTCCTGGCCACCTGCTGCGCTCAGCGCTCGACCCCGGCGGTTTGCTGGTGAAACCGCAGCACCTCCTGTGACACCGGGCAGCCATCGCCACTGGACATTATGTATTGCTGTAGGTACATATGATAGAAATGCTCTCTTCTCCGTAGCAAAACTCACGTTCAGCACCGAGTGTGCTAGAACTTAACTAACCAGCAGGGCGACATCATCATCGGCACTTACGAGCTTGACGTCGCCCGGCCCGACCACCACAGACCCATGTGAGATGCTTGGCAGGCCAGCTGCGGTGGCGTCTTGGCTCTGGAATACCGCTTCGTAACTGGTACCCTGTACTTATCTTTTTAGATGGAGTTATTGCGAATCGGGCAAACTAAGAGGAAAACCTGCTTCATAAAATGCAAAGAAACAAATAAATAATGTGAAGAATCAAGACGCTCACGTCTGTCGCTACCCTAATGTTGGGAGACGAGATCAAGGGGTAACGCCCTTCCCCCAGCGTAGGTAATGCTCACTTGCTTTACGAGAAAGTTACCTTATGGTTACATTCTTGCACATTTAAAACTTGCCGTCTGAATATGCCGTCTCTGTCCCAATGACCTCCCTTGCGTACTTCTTCACGGTGTCGGTGACTCGTCATGACGTACTCCTTCACGTCTTGCGTGCCCATGATCAGGCCCAAGTCGGTCTATACCTGAAAAATATAAATTAATAGAAAACCACTGCAATCCGCATACATGAACAATAATAAATGCAGGCTATAACTAAAAAATTTCAAAGATAATTATGTTATACATTTAGCGCGTAACTTACTTTGAAATAATATTTGTCTTCGGGTAGCGTAAATATCAATAGGAACAGTTAACCCTCGGTGACTCTCATCGACCCTCGACTCTCGAACGCCACCCCAAGTAAACAGACTGAGTACCGTTGCAGCACATTTATTCGAAATGACAACGAGAACCATAACGGCCAACGTAGATGGAACACCGCGCCGTCACCCCATCCCCCATCCAGGCCCCCCCCCCCCATCCAGCCCCCCCCCCATCCAGGCCCACAACACTCATACCCACTAGGCGTAATTGTGTGGACATGGGAGTTTTGCGGTACATCATGGACACGAACAAACGCCACTACCACCACGACTGCAACTGAGATAGAGATGTGACATTCCGCACCAATATACACCGAGTGCCCGCGCTTGGCATGGTATTAAAATAATAAGCGCATCGCCAGGGGATTAAGAGACAGCTTTGCGTAATTACATGGACCAGAGGTCAGAATTTTTTGACATAACATGGACAAGTGGGCGGGGCCAAACAATGTCCACGCATGTACGTGAAACGGCCACTTATACCCATCAGACGTAATTGTGTGGACATTGGAGTTTCGACAACAGGTGACAGAGATACGACGTTACGCGCTGGTTGATTGATTTATATGCATCCAGTGGCGGATCCAGGCGGTAGGGGGGGGGGCATGGGGGCCATGGCCCCTCTATGGGCCTCTCGGGGGCACCATCACAGAGTTTTTTTTTTTCAGTCCATCACGGAGGTCACCGACGGGAGCTTCAACCCAGAAACCTCCTAAGGGGGCACCATCCAGAAGGTGCCCTGTCAGGGGCACCACAGGCTTGTCAGGGGCACCATCGGCCTAGCAAAAGCACCACAGGTCTGCAAGGGCCACCACAGACCTGCCAGGGGCACCAGAGGTCTGGCAGAGGCACCACCGGCCTCGCAGGGGCACCTTGGGCCTGTCAGGGGCACCACGGGCCTGTGGGGGCACTTCAGGCTTGTTAGGGGCACCACAGTCCTGTCAGGGCCCAGGGGCAGCAGCGGCCTAGCAGGGGCACCACAGGCCCGCCAGGGGCACTACAGGCCTGTCAGGCGCATCAAAGACCTAGCAGGGGCACCACAGGCCTGCCAGGGGCACCACTGGCCTTACAGGGGCACCTTGGGCCCGTCAGGGGCACCACAGGCCTGCCAGGGGCACCACAGACCTGTCAGAGGCACCACTGGCCTCGCAGGGGCAACTTGGGCCCGTCAGGGGCACCACGTGCCTGTCGGGGACACTTCAGGCTTGTCGGTGGCACCACAGTCCTGTCAGGGCCCAGGGACACCGGCGGCCTAGCAGGGGTACCACAGGCCTGCCAGGGGCACTACCAGCCTAGAATTGGCACCACCAGCCTCGCAGGGGCACCATGGGCCTGTCGTTTGCACTTCAGGCTTGTCAGGGGCACCACAGTCCTTCCAGAGGCACCACAAACCTGTCAGGGGCACCTGCGGCCTAGCAGGGGCACCACAGGCCCGACAGGGGCAACATACAAAAAGAAAAGAAAATAGGGCACCATCAAAATGAAGTGGCCGAAATCCGTTGACTTTTTAATTTCGGGTATAGGTACGCAGGGGAACCACTTCGGATTCATGCCCCCCCCCTTGGAGTTTTCCTGGATCCGCCACTGTATGATTCACTGTTCCACGAGGAACAATCTGAACTTGAAAAATCGTCGCCTTAGAGTGCACCGATTTTTCAACCTGAGGGCCCAACCTGTGGGTTGGGCAGCGGACATGTCATGTCAGATCAGATCACGAAAGGTCACCTTACGGTAGTCGGCACGCGACACATGACTTATTAGAGGTTATTTTTCACGCCGGATCCGATGGTCATTGTTATATCACTCCCGAACTCACTAGTCAGATGTCCAAACTTACGATAATACCTATGACGTTATTATACAATGTACATTCTAAAACTACTCCACCAGTTGGGGGTAAACTAAAACCGTTATGGAATGTTAAAACTTGGTACACCCGAAATAATTATTCCCGGTATTTTGAAAGTTTTGATGGTATGGCTAAGTCAAAAGTCATTTTTTAGTTAAAGAGCGAACAAATGTGTCCGGCCGCGGCCGGCCGTGTGTGGACTGTGAAGTAGGTATGCGATCAGGCTGGAGGATACGGCAGGATTTGGCGTCGGCCTCGGCACGTTGATCAGATAGACGCAGGCTGAGCGGAACTTCGCTTACAGGACGTCCTGCACCGACGGTGCAGCTGAGACGGCGGCTGAGCCAGACATGGGAGTTACAGAGGAGCCGTGACGCCGCCGGTCCGGTCACAGGCGCTCGAGATGAGCAGCTCCGCCGCCGAGGGCCGGCCGGGCCATGCACATTGCAAATACCTAGACTGGATACTGTCGAACTGCCGCCGGTCGAACTCACAACTGTCTGTGCCGGGTGTGCATAAAGCTGGTGCTTGCAGGTCTGGCAGGTTAATGAAAGAAACGTTTTTAACCTGAACGTGTGCTAGTTTGTGGTTAAATGGCGATTTTTTCTTTGGGAATGGCAGCATGACCTGGCCTGTGTTGCGTCCTCCCGCGCCCCTGTGAGACGCTGTGTGGAACCTTGCCCGCGTCTTTTATGGGCTTGGCGCCGAGTTGTGGGTGTCCGGTCGCGGCCGCGAAGTCGGTTGAAACCGGGACACAATACAGGCTGAATCAGTTCGCGGCCTATGACATCTTTCCCGGCACGACCATCGCTGCAGCTGCCGTCTTGTCTGCCGCCACACACCACGGCAACGGACGTATAAGTCGGCGCCGACGGCCGCCAGCCGGCCGACGCGACGGCGTGATAGAGACACACGTTGCTTTTCTCATGACACATCTCAAATGTTGTGATGCATGAATGAGGAAGAGTTTCGTCTTGCGTTTTGTTACTTTGTAACATGAAAATACAAAAATAAAACGAGCAGCTCAATACACCGTTATATCTAACGCTCGTCGTGCTTTACCGGCGTGTGCTACCGAAATGATTAATCCCACTAACGGTAAAATTTATTTGTCGTGCCGATATTCGTCGTTAAGCTTCATGCACCTGGCGAGGGAAGACGTACGTGTGAGTGTGTGTGCGTGTGTTAAGGGGGATGGCGTTAAGAAAACTAATCGACTGTAAGACGCCGCTACGGCACACCAATAACCTGCACTTTCGGTCCATCAGATAGAAAATTAGATAACAAACGCTTTATTCATCCGCACAAAAGGCGGAATCCGGGTCGCGGAATCCCGCTGGGACTCCGCGACCCGGAATCCCGCAGAGAGTCTGGCAACCGCGTAGCCGGATGGGAGCTGACGTCGACCACCTCCGCTGGGAGTCTGGCAACCGCGTAGCCGGATGGGAGCTGACGTCGACCACCTCCGCTGGGAGTCTGGCAACCGCGTAGCCGGATGGGAGCTGACGTCGACCACCTCCGCTGGGAGTCTGGCAACCGCGTAGCCGGATGGGAGCTGACGTGTACCCCCTCAGTCGAGGTACTGGATCAGATCTGAAACGAAATGACTTTGTCAAAATAACATCAATTAGCACGCGTAGTGGAAGGGTTCCGAGAACTAAGCATGGTGAAAGTCTCCTATTTGTGTAACTAGGTCAACAAACAGGAGGGGTGGTCGATATCCGCCTCCCTCCCCTTCCACTGCACGTGTTAATCAATCGGTTTCATGGGAATGGACTGGTGAGCGTTTATCTTCGCCAGTGCGGCATGAATTGGCCATGTCTCCGCGTGTGTGTGTGGGGGGGGGAGGGGGTGATACCTATTAGCCCACTGCAAACAGAGCTACAGGAAAGAGGAAAAATAATCGCATTCTTCACAGCACATATACCTACCCAAGAAACATCGAAGGCCAAATACAAAATCTAAGGCGAACACATATCAGCGGTATGAAATTTCCTCTGCAAAGTTCAAGAAGCTCAATATTTCGCATTACAGTCAATCGAAAGAAATACTTCGAAGGAATAAGAACTTCAGTGCAACACAAGCAACACCAAGAGCAACACCAACACCAACACAAGCATCATTTTGTATGCCTGACTTTTACTTACTCTATTGCAATTTCAATACATTGTTTCAATATAGAAAACCGATATGGTTTTCTATATTGAAAAGAGTTAAGCATTGATTGCTGCGAAAGAGAGAGACAGATAGGGAGAGAAACAAAAAGAGAGAGGGGGAGAGGTAGGGAGAAAGGGGGAGAGAGAGAGAGAGAGAGAGAGAGAGAGAGAGAGAGAGAGAGAGAGAGAGAGAGAGAGAGAGAGAGAGAGAGAGAGAGAGCGCATTTACCGCTAACGTCGATCTCCTCCAGTCTTGTTAGCGTACCGGTGGACCGCTCCCTGCTCAGATGCCAACAGAAGCTGGCTGACCTTGTGATGATGCCCCAGACGGCGGCTCCCACGCGGGGTCCGAGTCCGAGACCGCGTCAGGCAGCTGAGGCGGACGGAAAGCCCGCCCTGTCCGCGTGCGCCTGGGGAAAAATAGAGTTTTACAAGCATGTATGCAGAAACAGGTAGTTCACGGAGTTTGGGAAGGGCTGGTGAGCTCATTTCATACATGCTACAGATAGAGTATAAAGCAGATTGGATGCCACCAGTGCGAGGTTGTCAAACTTACACTGTCTCAGTGACGTCTCCTTGTGATGATGCCCCAGACGGCGGCTCCCACGCGGGGTCCGAGTCCGAGACCGCGTCAGGCAGCTGAGGCGGACGGAAAGCCCGCCCTGTCCGCGTGCGCCTGGGGAAAAATAGAGTTTTACAAGCATGTACGCAGAAACAGGTAGTTCACGGAGTTTAGGAAGGGCTGGTGAGCTCATTTCATACATGCTACAGATAGAGTATAAAGCAGATTGGATGCCACCAGTGCGAGGTTATCAAACTTACACTGTCTCAGTGACGTCTCCTTGTGATGATGCCCCAGACGGCGGCTCCCACGCGGGGTCCGAGTCCGAGACCGCGTCAGGCAGCTGAGGCGGACGGAAAGCCCGCCCTGTCCGCGTGCGCCTGGGGAAAAATAGAGTTTTACAAGCATGTACGCAGAAACAGTTCACGGAGTTTGGGAAGGGCTGGTGAGCTCATTTCATACATGCTACAGATAGAGTATAAAGCAGATTGGATGCCACCAGTGCGAGGTTATCAAACTTACACTGTCTCGGTGACGTCTCCTTGTGATGATGCCCCAGACGGCGGCTCCCACGCGGGGTCCGAGTCCGAGACCGCGTCAGGCAGCTGAGGCGGACGGAAAGCCCGCCCTGTCCGCGTGCGCCTGGGGAAAAATCGAGTTTTACAAGCATGTACGCAGAAACAGGTAGTTCACGGAGTTTAGGAAGGGCTGGTGAGCTCATTTCATACATGCTACAGATAAAGTATAAAGCAGATTGGATGCCACCAGTGCGAGGTTGTCAAACTTACACTGTCTCGGTGACGTCTCCTTGTGATGATGCCCCAGACGGCGGCTCCCACGCGGGGTCCGAGTCCGAGTCCGAGTCAGTCAGGTGGGGCGGTGTTCGGAAAACCGGTCCTGTCCGCGCGAGCCTGGGAAAAAATATTTTTTTTTTTTGCAAACATGTACAGTTACACAGAAACATGTAGTTAACGGGGTTTGGGAAGGACTGGTGAGCTCATTTCATACATGCTATAGATAGAGTATAAAGCAAATTGGATGCCACCAGTGCGAGGCTGTCAAACTTACACTGTCTCGGTGACGTCTCCTTGTGATGCCCCAGACGGCGGCACCCACGTCCGCGCGCGCCTGAAAAAAAAATGTTTTTTTTTTTGCAAGCACGTACAGTTACACAGAAACACGTAGTTAACGGGGTTTGGGAAGGACTGGTGAGCTCATTTCATACATGCTACAGATAGAGTATAAAGCAAATTGGATGCCACCAGTGCGAGGTTGTCAAACTTACACTGTCTCAGTGACGTCTCCTTGTGATGCCCCAGACGGCGGCTCCCACTCGGGGTCCGAGTCCGAGTCAGTCAGCTGAGGAGAAGGTGTCCGGACGGCCGGCTCTGTCGTGCGCCTGGACAAACTAATTGTTCTAGAACAAGCACGCACACATGAGCGTCATTCGCGGGGTTCGGGGAGGGCTGGTGAGCTCATTTCATACATGACAGTATATTTCAGATACATGCATCTGAGATGGCGATGTACCACCGCGTATGTAGTTAGCGCTGCGCACTTGTCGCTGGTCGGCCCGAGGCAATAGCCGACACGCTCAGTCAGACGGCGAGACAGGGAGACGCTCATGATAAGCGCCACGCCTCTGAACTTGTTCGCTAACGCATCTGAAGGGAAGCGGGCCGACGCAGGCTGTGCTACGGGGCTCTTGAAGCTTACAACCAGCTCCCATTTATCAAACGAGATGTGCATCTAAAACACCAACTGAAGCAGCGTATTTTTCAACTATCAGCGTCTAAAACATCGTCATATGCATACCTACGTGTAGCTACATGGGTCGACCATTACTATCCCTGTTTTTTAACTTTTGAGTTACTGACGTGTGACTGAATATGCAGATCTTTCGCCAAATAAATCTGAAACTGAATCCAAGGGGCGCGTTTATACGCATCATAAAGAGCAAGATATAAGAAGCCTGAGAACCTATTCGCACATCGCCAGGGATACAGACGTGCGCCCAGTCATTGCCGGATTTCGCGTGACTACTTCTCTTTTTGCAATCATGATAGCGTGTTGTTTTTATGTTCATTTCGCTTTCTTAGCACGGAGTGCCGCGACTAGTTGTTTAATAATATCTGGACTTTTAACGTAAGGTTTTTTTTGCGTCGCTTGCACTGCGGAGGGGGCACTCCTGGTCCTCTGTTCATGGATTCGGACTATTTGGAATAATACAAAAAAAAAAATATATCGGCCTCCAGCTCTGCTTCTCCTCAAATTCTCCATGTCTAGAACAAAATGACCTTGAATGACCTCTCGTGACCTTAACATTGACCCCAACAAAAATTTAGCATGATAGCTTTCATGGGCTTTGTCGCTTCTCACTGCGTTGAGGATTTTTTATTAGATCTTAGGGGGCGGATATTCAGCTTCCAGTATGATCTAAGACGATACCAATCGACTGATATGGCGTTCGTCCAAAAGAGGCGCATGTTAATTTTTCCGATAGTGAAGAGGTCGCAATATTGACCTGACTCCGATATCGAAATTGTGAGATATACATTTTATACATATTGTTACTCTCATCAATCGCTGAAAGTTTCAGGGCGATCGTTCAGTCAGTCTGTAGCTATGACGAGCATTCTAACTTTGGCTGAGGTGATATCACTTGACAAGACCTGGTGACCTGACCTTGAGGACCTGGGTCTGAAATTTTCACATGTGCGGAAAACATGCATGAACAAGTGGGCATAAACAGTTTTGAGATATCAGCGAAAAACCGCAAGGGAAGGAGGCAGGGTGTCCAAACACCTTTCGGCCCGGCGCGGGTTAAACTAGGGACCGCACATTTGCCGCTCAGCCACCGCCTAAGGAGCACTTACCTCGTATTTGAATCCTCCCGGCTTATGGGGAGGACCTTGGCCGCTGCAGGCTCTGTGAAAAATAAAGAATCATTCAGACCGACCAGTCAACGAGCTCAGCATAAACATACCGATGACGATGATGATATTGTGAGAAAGAGGGCGCGGCAGCTACGAGGCTATATCGCTGAACGTACTGACACAATTGTATTACATGAATAGCTCCAGACCATGATTATCGGCAACGTTTTGTAAAATTATACGTTCATTATTCAGGTGATAAATACCTGCCCCTGTGTACTAATCACAATGTCGCCACTAAAGCATATTGTAACATACGTACTGGGTCTTGTTGAGCTCGACGACCGCTGCCGGTGGGCGCCCAGGGGCGGAGTGCGCACCTCTGCAAAAGTAGTCCAGATGTCAGTTTTACCAACATAAAATAGCTGGCTGCCGGTATTTTTTTCTAGAAGCCTCCCTAAGTTCAACAGCTCATCATGAGAAAAAAAGACCGCTGATGTGAAAACGCATAATTTATAAATTAGGCTGGCTGATATTAATATTTACATCAGTGGACTTTTTCGCCTGAATGGCAAAATTCGGGAACGACTTAAGGTAAAAAAAAAACGGCAGCAGGCGAGTCCATCTCTCACTTTATTGAGGCAGAAGTCAGGCCTTGAGAGTACACAAAAGCCAGAGGTTAATTTTGCAAGGAACTCTGCTTACGCCTTGGCAGTTGACATGCTAGCGTGATTCAATTACTGCTCTTTTTTTCAATCGCATCGCCGTTCTGTCGCGTGTTGTTTGATATCCTCGTCATAACCGAAAAAAATCAGCGTTACTTCCAGTCATAGTCACACCCATTCCTATGGCGGACCACGTGGATAATAATCTACGAGTCTAATAAAAAGGCTATGGCAAAAAATAATGATGAACCTATATATTTGCATACGTATCCAGCCTTGCTTCATTGTCTAGAAAATACTATACCTTGATCCATGTTGCGCCCTGGCGGTGGAGCCCAAAATCCAGCAGCTGTAGGAGAAAAAAAAAACGCCAAGTTAAAAAACAATCACATAAAGACTAGGTAGTGGATATCAACGTCGCGGTTAGTGAGCGCACGCACGCACACCGGTACCTAAATACACACGCGCATACATACCTCTACTACTAACATTTAGAAAAAAACACATATGTACAAGTTAAATCTAAATACGCGGAAATGAGATAGAAGAAACTTGGATTACATTGCAAATGCAAAGTGCCACTTTGTTCATTACAACAAGCATATGCATATCGATCTGCCCTTCTGGAAATTGATAAGCAAACGAAATACCTAAGCCGAGCTTTTATAAATACACCAGAACAGCGGAAGTTTTAGAGTTACGACGATGTGGGGAGGTTTCACACTTGAAAAAGCAACATAAAAACCTAGCCACTCACCTTCGTGGAAGGCCTCAATAAGGATGGGGTTTATATGGGATCTAGGCTCCCAAGTGACTTCGCTGAAAAGGAACACAAGGAACATAGTGATTAGGGAGAGATATACAAATAACAAGGAATACCGTCACGGACGATCCGCAAGAAGGGGTACAGCTTTTGGGTGGTTGTAGTAACTGGCCCAGGAAGAGTGCATTTTAATGACCTATGCCATCTGTCATGTCTTCGCCAGTTATGTCAAACATTATTTCTGCATATCGAGTAGGTCACTTATAAGGCCGGAACCATTGATCTATAATAAGTATAGGTCTTATACTTATTATAGGTCAATGGCCGGAACACTGCTCTTAAGCGTGCAAAACGCATCTCCTCACTTCCCATTGGAATACATGGCTTATGTATTTTCTGCTTGCAACACGCAGCGCATTAAGCCGCGTGTTGGGAGCAGAAAATATGCCATGTATTCCAATGGGAGGTGCAGAGACGCGTTTTGCACGCTTAAAAGCAGTGTTTCCAGTCACTTGGTGCTAGTTGCGTGGCTTGGTCCAATTGGTTTGATTTGAAAGGCTAGGTTCAGTGGGGTGACAAAAAAGTCGACACAACAGACAGGCTCTGTGGAAGAGATTGCGGACCCCTCCCCCCCCCCTAAACAAACGCAGATAGACGGTGACACAAGTGCCAAGTATCATCCCTTTATTTTAATATTGGGCGCATGCATGACGGTGAATCGATGAAAAAAAGAGAAATCTAACAAATCATTACGCATGCTTGCGCAGCATTACACAATGTGACACTGAAAACACAAAATTCATGTCATACTCACTTAAAACCTTGCCACTTCACTTCGTACATCTGGCAGCTTGAGTCACATGCGATGATGAACTCAATGAAAAAACGCTCCTGCAAAGAACAGATTAGGCAAAGTTAATGAATTGCGAAACTAACATACTTGTTTAGTCAGCCCACTATCATCTCTGTGGGCTGATTTCTACAGTCAGTCCAAAACACTGCGGAATGGATTTCAGTGTTCGAAACTGAACAAAAACCCAAAAATTCTTGCAATGAACGACCGAATTAGAAAATTTGTTGATCACATCAGATGGGGTCTACGACAGTCCAGTGAGGCAGTGAATGGTCACATGTTGCATATCTGTGTAACATACGCGTACAACACAAGGAAAAATAAAAAGACGCACATTACTGGGATATTCCTAGAATCGCTGTGAAGACTCGTATAGGGCGTGGCAGAGCATACTGACAAGAAAACCAGCAGAGAAGTGATGTGCATCACCCAGAAAGTTGAAAAGGATAAATATGTTGGCAGATTTCCAACAGATGCCAGGTGAATGCAACAAATTGCTTTAGTGAAAAGGGCAAAGCAAAGGTCAGTCAAGCTATTGACACAGCATACTTTGCCAAGAGCCTGACAAATTCGATCAAAAGGAATTAAACTGTTCTTGAAGGGCCATTATTGGAAGACAGCACTAAAGTAGCATCACTAGACAGGTCTAGGGTATCACCTGACATAGGGGAGATTTGCGGGAGAGCTGCGGGAGCTCGAAGCTCCCTAGAACAGCCTGTGCCAGGGTCGTAGCCTTACCATTACGATAAGTCGAGGGGTGGGCATTCTTACGTCCCCTCTGACGCGGCTACTGAGCTACGCAGCGAGTAGAAATAGTGACAAATAGTTATGGGGAAAAATCAGTTGTCTTACCTCCACATGCCTCCTTTTTTTTCGAGGCATACCAACTGCCGTTTTCTGCAACACAAGAGAAGCATTATCTGGCGTGTGCCTACAAATAGCTTCAATGGGAGCAATCATTATGTCTTTATTGCTTCCATTTTCGTGCCAGAGAAGATACATATGTCGTAGGCATTGTCTGAAATCCGGCTACAACCTAACAACCTAAAACCTACAAACCTACAACCTAAAACCTACAACCTAACCTAAACTGAAACCTAAAATTTTTGCTGTTACACATTTGTTTCAACAGCGTCACAGCGTCGTAGTTATGACCTTATCTTGACAAATACCGGCAGGGAGTAGGTGAAGTAGGCATGGGCCCTGTTCGGTCGCTGCTGCCAAAACAGCTTCTCTAACAGCCCACTAGGTGGCTACTGTGTTGAAGGAATATGGCTGAGAAAGGACTGTGCTCATGCTGTTGACCAATGAGAGGTGAGAAACGCACGCAGGTTTGCTGACGTACGTTGACGTTGCTGCTGACGTCTGCTTAGGCCAAACTACGGGCAACCACATGTGCTGGTGTATTGTCTCAATCATAAAGAACGCAACTAACAGTGATGACGTCATGTAGGTAACCGTGACGTAAATCGACGCGCTAGCGCTTAAGTCTGCTGATAAAAAACAGCGACCAAACAGAGCCCAGGTTAGGTCAGGTTTGCTTATTTTGTTTTACAAGCAACTATTTGATGAGATTATTTGATGCCTACAAAAAATTGGTAAAAATATCTCAAGAACTGGCAAATCTAGTGACTTTGCAAGGCGCGTTTCCTTTTCCCAACCAAAGGAAGGCGAAGAAGGCGTAGATGTAAAGGAATATACCCGAAGATGCTTCTTTGTAACCAAACCAAACAAAAACTAACATAACCTAACCTAAACTGATCTAATCTACAAACCTATAAACCTAAAACCTAACCTACAACCTACAAAACTGCAACGCGTTGAAAATTTTGGCTGGCGGCGGGATTCAAATCCCCAGTTTTTCAAACACAAGGCGAGTGCACTACCAGCCAGCTGGCCAGACGCAGGTATAAGTCACTTTTGTATGACACAATGGGATATTTTCGGTATTAGCGCCTTCCTTTGGTTGGAAAAAAGAACTGCGCCTGCACAAGGGGGGCAGCACTTGTGACATCTGTTGTAACAGTACCATGAATTTTGACTGGTGACCCTAGAACTGGCCAAGTGAGACCAAATGCTAAGAAAACATTAATGTTGGTAATATTTTTAGTCCCTTAATTATGCAATAGCTGACTGAATGTCACATAGAAGCATAAACAATGCAATATGTGTGGTTTGTCATCAGTGCGGATTCTTACCTCGTACACAAGGCGAGGTTGTGATTTAGTGGGGAAAAATATAGCACACTAGAATCAATTTATTGATGCCTCCAATTTTCTATTTCAAAAGCCTAGTTTGCAAATATGATATGCGATGCAGAAAGCATGTGGAAAAACATACCAGGGCTCCAGAAAGTACACAAGAGCTGATACATTCCAGACATTCACTCAATATCCGAGAAATTCCAAAGAAGTTAGCACTGACGCAAATCATGCTACATGCTGAACAACCAGGTGAGATAATAACATGCAGCATGATTTGTCTTCATGCTAACTTTTATGGAATTTCTCTGACATCAAGTGAATGTCAAAAAGTATTGACTCTTAAGTGAACATGTCAATGTGAAAATGCCCATGGAAACAAATAGCCATAAAATGTGTTGTTCAAGAAGTTTTAACACCATCCCAATTATCAATAGCCGACCATTTTCACCTCATCAAATAGTCTAAGAAAAATGTGTGAATCGAAATCATAGACTGTACTTAAGAAATGCTAGATGTGTAGGTACCAATAACAAACAATATCTGGTATTACCTCGGGTAATATAAGTAGGCAGCAATAACAGACAGTAATAATAGCAAAAGTTACAAGTTAATGAGGACTGGGCTCCACAGGAAATCGTTTGGGTCGTTTATGAATGATTCCAATTTAAATTTGAATTGTGCAGTCAGTCCTGATTGCCTCGTCTTCTTATGCAAGCTCGTCATCAATTACCTAGGAGAATAGTGTGGCTGCAATATTACTTTAAGCAGAAATAAAATATTCCTTATTATTTGGCTTACCTTCCTCTTCCCTCCCATGGCTTCCACTGGCTTCCTTCTCAGTTCTCACCGCTCCAACTCCTTGTCCAACTCAAACTCCACCAACCCCACCGCTCAAACAAAGCACAGACCCAAGAAGACAAAGACGCTGACGCGGGAAACGCGCGCGGCATTTTACTACTGACGCGCTCGTCAGCTGATTAAAGGGATGCTGACCGATATCCGTGGACAAAACTAACAGGATTTCTTTGTTTTCATGGACATTAGCAGATCAGCCAATCAGAAGCGCTGTCACATCTTTCATCACCAATAGCAAGCTGGGTTACAACCAAAGGGAAGCACACAAACCTGGTGGCAGATTTCAGTACTATTTCATACGGTAGCTCCCGGGAGCGTTGAAACGTGGACATTCAGGACGAGTCCACGAAATTACGTTTGGTGTTGTGCGAATTGCTTGTCCAAGATATGATGCCTCAAACATGAAATAAAAACATGGACACAAAATGTCCATGATATCGAAAATGTCCATGTATTTCCCAAAAATCTGTTAATTTGTCCATGAATATACGGTTAAAGAGAGCTTCCCAGCAGAGAATCAGGCCACAACGCTCACTGCGCGCGGGTCCCGCGCTGGAACTATGATGCTGAGGGCTGGGAATCCTGCGCCCCATGTACTGACGACTGACGGCAGGAAGCTAAGGAGTGCCAAAGCTTTGGCACTGTGTTTGGGCCCCCATCCAGGCCCAGCGCCTCCCAGTAGACCATCACGCACGCCGCGCGCAGGTCCCGCGCCGGGAGCTTGATGTTGAGGGCCGGGAATGCTACGCCCCAGGTACAGACGGCCTTTTCAATGTCATCTCCCAGGTCTGCGATGATGGTGCCTCCCATTTTCAGGGTGAACATGTCCTGGTCCTTCTCCAGAATGAGAGAGCCTGTCTTTGGGCTTTCTGAAGACGTCACCACCTTCTCAATTGAACACCCGATGTTCTGCACCAGTTCACGGAAGCATACGTCCGCTGAAAGTAATGAAAAATGTTAACAACCCGCACCCGTGCTGGTGGCCTGAGTTTTCCATGTCGTGCTGGGGGGGGGGGGGCGTTTTCATGCATCTCCCGTCTAACTCGGCTCTTGGGCCACTTGGAGATACGCGGTAAGCGGCATTCGAAAGAGTGTCAAAAATAATGACGGAAATCTTTTAGGTCAGGTCACTAGAGGTCATCAAAGGTCAAATTTTGTTCATTACAACAATGTTCGAAACACCCGACGTATAACTCGGGAACCAATAGAGATATAGCGCCGCTGGAAAAAACATTTGATAGCTCTTTTACAGGCCGTTTTGATTATTGCTCTCAGATCTGACCTCATGTCAACGGTTTAACCACTAGACAGAAAAACTAAAAAACAGCCGTCTTTACGAAAAATGATTTTCGAAAATAACATTTGACTCAAAAGAGACACGACATTAATTTTACCAGCATCGTGTTCCTCTCGTCGAGACGCGTCCAATGAACTATAAGTTGACATTGAAAGGTCATGTTGAAAATCTGACCTCAGGTTAAGGTCATGACCTGACCGAAAAAGGGTCTTGCTGCATATCAGTCGACCCGTATCGTCGAACTGAACACAGCTGACGCATTTTCACCGCTCTAGCCCGTCTCTACCAAAAGTTATTTGCGAAAACTGTTACATACCTTCGTGACCTGAGATGACCTCGGGGACATAAACAGGGGTCACTGACACCATTGTCATGTTCAGTGTGTCTAAGTTACTTGTAATTCAGTGTTTGGGAGTGTTTATAATGGCTTTCGTCCAAAAGCGGCGCATTTCAGTTTTCTTCCATTGACATAATGGAGAGGTCGCAAAATCGACCTGACCTTAGTTCATCGATATCAAAATTTTGAGATAAACATTTTGTACATGCTATTGCTCTTAGCAATCGCTGAAAGTTTCAAAGCGATCGGTCACTAGGTGTAGCTACAGTGAGCCTTTAAGCTTGTTCTGGGGTAAGGTCACTTGACGTGACCTGGTGACCTGACCTTGAAAGAACGGAGTCCGTAACTTTCACAAACATGTGCGAAAAAGATGCCTGGACAGGTGTACCGAAAACGGATTTGAGTTATTCGCGAAAAACCTGGGGGGAGGGGGCGTGAAAATCCCCCTTCCTGAGTTATTCGCGAAAAACCTGGGGGAGGGGGCGTGAAAACCCCCCTTCCCAGCACGGCGCAGGTTTACATACACTATTAGCATACTGTGTGGGCAAGCGGCATGACAGCTATGCCACAAGAACATATCTGGATAACACCATCATCCACAAACCGTCATGTATTTGAAAACGTGGGAGTTGGGACCTGCCTACTGCAAGCGTGAGGATAAATGTCTAATATAACGAAAACGTTTATCGCTAATTCTCCAAACGTCATCTGTTGCAATCAGCTCCAATGACATCATGTAAGTTTGAAATTGTTTAAAAGTGAGCCTGTGCATCCGATTTGCGATCAATGTGGCTACTATGAGCAGCATCTGGCTGCGGAGGGGTGCGGCCGCCTCCCAGTCGCAAGCGCTAACAGCCAGTATAGCCAGGCCCACACATTGGTCCCTGAGCGTGCACACTACTGCGAGGTGAGTAGTGCAACAATAGCCGCGTTTACATAGGGCTAGTTGCCAGATAGTGGAATTCCACTAACGAGACATTTATTCCACTAACGAGACATTTCAGGCACCTTCAGATAATTCTGACGACCTATCCGGCCAGAAGGACCAAACCGATTGACAAAAATAAATACATCGTGGCGGATGGACACTAAGGGGTACTTCAGGCCTAGACATAGTATAGATGTCGCAACTCGCGGCCTTCCCGGCAGTAAGGGCGAGGTATAGATGACGCTACTGCAGCAAGTCACTGGAACGTGCGAGTCGTGGAATGCCGGAACGGAAGATACGGAACGGGGGCTTCTTAACGGAAGCTTATTCGTTTTATTTTCATTTAAGAATTGATTTCGTGCGCTAGGGAAAGAACATTTTCTTCTTTTTTCATAGTCTGTCCCTTCCATCCTTTGGATCAGCCAGTGTGCAGCAAGAGGGTTCATCGGAGAAAAACAACAAAGAGCAATCCTCCCTGAGCCTGTCAGAAATAACCTGAGCATAGGCGGCGGAACGGGGAGGGAACCGGGGCACCGTGCCCCCCTTTGATTTTGGCATTTTAACATTAGCCCTATGGGCGCTGCATGAAAAGAATGGGACCAAAAGTCGGCGGTGCCCCCCCCCCTTAATTGAAGGTGCTCCGCGGCTACTGAACCTGAGGACCGTTCGTTATGCCCTACTGCCCACGCTTCTTAAAATTTCACTAGTAGTCAGTTATCGGGCCAATGTTTCCGTATAGGGGTTGTCAAACACAACTGAGCCTCGTGAGTGGGATGGGTACTGGACACAGAAGTGGACAATCTGTTGGCAAGAAGCCCGCAAGGATAATATCTCGAAACTCAGGACTACGTATACAAACACTTTACATGCATCTAAATCTATACTATAATCGAAAGCCGCATTGTTGTGAACTACCGGCACGTGCGTCCAATCACCATCAAGAACGGAAGTCCGACCTACAGCAAGCACGACAGTCCGATCATAGATGTATTGAAAAATAACTAGCAACTTTAAACATCGCCTTCCTCAGCCACGCTCTACACCGCATCACATAAGAAAACCCCCAATATCGATTACAAAACACACATAAAGGAATATAGATCAGAGGAATACTTCACCTCCTTTATCTGGCGCGTCAATAGGTATAAAGTAATCTTTGGCGTCTACGCACTAGCAACATCTATAATGCAAACAGCAGTTCAGAAACCATCCACTAAAATTGTAGCAAGGCAAGGGTTGGTCAAAATAATTATAGTCACCGTGATAGATAGCAAACGAAATACAGAACAAGCACAACAAAGCATTCCACACTCGTTTAGACTGTACAATATGCCTACATAAGATATTGCAGCAGTGTACTGTACAAGGAAAACATTCTTTAACACGCGCAGTGGAAGGGTTGCGAGTACAACGCCCAGTGGAAGGGGGGGGGCGGATGTCGCCCCCCCCCCTAAGATCTCAGCTCCCACTGGAGCTAGAAAGACGAAATTTGGTGGTTGGTGGAGGCCATGGGGAACTCTGTTGTGTGTGAATTTCATGACCTTAGGTCAATATCTTCAAGGTCAAATGAGGTCAAATATGGTCAAATCTGCCATATTTGCGACTTTTTTGCGTTTACACGCCGATAACTCGAAAAGTTACCGGCCGATTTTCTTTTTTCTTTCACTATACAAAAGACCAAACATT